GAGAGGGGAGATTGGTATAAATAAAGATATATATGATGTAGTTTTGCATAGTGGAGCACAAATTGACTTAGAAGAAGTTAGAGTTCAGTGAAGTCGTCACATAGCCATGCATGATCCACGTTTGATGACTTTTCTAATGTATAATTTGAACTGAAATCACATCAGTTTGAAATCAGAGGCGAAACGTTTTTCACCGGGGTCACATTATATCTTTTTAAGAAAATATATAAAATTAAATATAATAATTAAACAAATACAGAAATTATTTTGTAGTATCTTTGAACAAAATTAAGGGGGAATTGGCGTTGGTCACGTTTGTTCATATCAACTTGACAACTTACAAAGTTGGTGCATGACGAGACAAAGTGGTTTCGAAGTTTGTCGGATCTTCCTTGCATGGTTTAGATATTTGTAATTCTGCATTCTCACGGCGTGTAACGTGAGGAAGGGAGAGAGATTGAGAGCATGAGATTGTTCTTTAGCTTATGTGGGCTGATTAGTATTAGCTTAAACACACAAAATGAAATTATTATTGTGTGTTTTTAAAAAGAGTTTAAGAGAACATTTTGGCTTTGATTGGTAGCATTGTTAATGGCGGTTAAAAATTCAACCGCTCATTTGGTTACCAGTCTGGTCTAATCATATGAGCGATTAAAATAGGTGAAAGAAACGAGTTGTTAGAATATGTGGTTAAAAACTGTGGTTAAAATCTTAAAAGAGGTCGTTCACAACCATTCTAAAATAGGTGAGTAACCGTCTTGTTTATAAATTGGGCGGTTGAAATTTTTATAATTATATAATTGTTTTATTTTCTTAAAAAATATTTGTGTATTCATGGTGTTCGGATTGATTATATTCAGCTTTGGTTAAATGGAAGTGAAACTCAAAAACAATATATAAATACTTGGGTGATTTACCAATTAAGTCACTTTTAGTTTAAGATATATCAATTAAGTCACTATATAAGAGTGCCCAAGTTTTTTAACTGTTTGCACACAAAATTGACAAAAATAGCCTTATAAAGCTGGACCAAAAAGCAACGAGCGTTTGTGTTGTAGTAAGTTTTGGACAAATTTAGTTAGTGGGTTATGATTATATGTATTATTTGTGGATACACTTCTCTATCATTTTCATGTGGAATTTCTCATACTTGTCCACGTGTGCATAATAAACATAAACCAACATACATATTTATATTATTTTATTTTTACTTTAAATTTCCAACATATGTATCTGTATTAATACGTATATGTATTAATGAACTCTAACTTAATGGACACTGTTCATTTTTTTTTTACTAATTGTTCACTTGTAGATGAATATTTTTCTACACTTATAATATGTTTACTAGTTGATGTATACACCATTGCGTCCATTTTTCTTCAACAAGTTGTTCACTAGTAGATGGAAAAATTACTTGTACATGGGTAAATCTTATCATGTGTGATCAATTAGGTTTGATCAATTATTATTATATGTGCACCAAAAATAGTTATTCATGAACAAATTACCAACCCCAATTCTTTGATCATTTAGGTTTTCATTTTTTTTAATGATCAAACTCAAGTATGTATATCCATAAACATACTATAATTGATCCAATTATCAACAGATAAATGGTCAATTAGAATTGGACAATGTATAATGTAATAATTCACTCTTAAGTATAACAAAATGCATCTTAAAATGTAGATAAAATCTAACCATAGTGTATTGTATAAAAATTACTATAAAATATGTTAATATAATCTACATAAAGTGATTAATAGGAAAAGAGAAAGAGTGAGAGAGAAAAAAAGGGAGAATGAAAGAAGGGTTAATTGCGTGTGGACACACTTTCAAAAGTTTATTTGCACGATGACACACTTATAAACTCATGGTGCACTTTGGAAAAGTTTCTTTACTCTCTCACCCTCACTTTGACAACATATTAACTCATTTGCCATCCTAACTAAAATGTCACACAACTAAACACTTACGTTCTTTTCCTCTTCATTTTCTTCCTCCTCCTCCTTTTCGATTCTTTCCCTTTCTTCCTCTTTCCCTTTCTTCCTCTTTCTCTTTCTCATTTTTTATCTTTTTTTTATAATCACTTTATCTTGTTATTGTAACAGTATTTTATATTTATTTTTGTACAATACTCAAAATTTCTATTTTTCCTATATTTGAAGATGCATTTTACTATATTTTTGGATGAATTATATTACATATATTATCCATTTTTAGTTGACCATTTATTCGTTGATAATTGGATGGTCAATTGTAATATCATTTCTGGATACATACTTGTGTTTTGATATTTTAACAACATGTGGTTACTTTTTACATCTATCTTAACATTTTTGAAGTACATTTTGTACTAAAATCTATTTTGGGTTATAACCTTTTATTTTGTAATATTTGCATAATCAAACTCTTGCCATTTGAATAAATAACAAAACTTAAAGTAAATTTTGTAATTAAATCACAAGCAAATCTCAAAATTGGAAACAAATATTTATTACATCAAAACAATTTCCTAAAATATCTCTCTAATAACTTGAATCTTTCTCCAATTTATTTATATAATCTTATTTATTTTCCATATATATTATTACATAAAAATATTTTTAATAAAAATACAAATTTTTTTCCACACATTTTGCAATTTAAAGTTTTGAAAACGGACGTATATAACTCAATTAATAAAGGGAAAATG